AGGGTGGGAGGGCGATAGGACGGGGGTGGTAGGGTACGGCATAATAACCGACATCAAAGGAGAATTTCATTAAACTTTTTCTAGGGTGACAGACGACGTTTTGACGATGGCGCGTCCCAGTACGGCTCAACTTCTAAAAAATAATGTTATTGGACAGTTCCAAGAATGGAGTATAAAAACGGTAATAAATTTGCAGACACCTGGGGAACACAGTAGTTGCGGGGGACCATTGGGACCCAGTGGATTTACCTATGATCCTTCAGAATTTATGAAACACGGAAGTAAGTTAATAGGAAAAGTTAATACCCCAATTCAAATATATGAATTATTTACTATTGTAAATAACTCATACATTTTATTTACACATAGACATGAATTCCGGTGAATTTTGTTTGATCGCAGTGATAAAATATCTCCGTAGACTGAATTTTTTTCGCGTGAGCACAATCACCTAATTTATCTAATTCATTAGCCCTATAAATTCGGAAAGTTTCGACACCGGAAAACGGACGATTTTCCAAGGTCAAATTCCGTCCTTGTTGAAATTTGTGGGTTCGATAAGGATAAAGCTATTCCTTCTATTTGGCCTCCGCAATACCATCGCACCCGATCGAACAAGTTCATGGTAACATGCAATGCAGTCAAAACTCAAATGTACCCCTAAAATAAACGCTGAAATTACATTTCCCGTGAAATGGCTAGCCTCTCTCCTTTCCTCGGCGTAGACCATACATTACACGCAATTTTCTGACAGTTACCCTCGAAATTGTATCGTTACTTTCGTTTACAGTCTATTATTACAATTTTGCATGGAAGGACTACGACGAGGCAACGATGAGTAAATTACTGGATATGGTAAAAGTTGTGGCATTTGGAGTGCAGGAAGGTAGAGTGGCAATTCACTGTCATGCAGGTAAATAATTTCGTAATGATGTAATACCCCATTCAATGATTTTTCAATTATTTAAAAAATTGCTAAAAGACAACAAAAAAAGGAGATAGCCTTAATAGAACTGCGATAACGTAAAATAAATGTTTATTATCGTTTAATTGTTGAACATGAAATCGTAATTCACGAATTGTGTCGGAGTTGGAAGTTTACACCGGAATTTATTACATACTCTATGTCATACAGATAATGGTGTTGATAATCAATCCAAATTGCTCTCGTTTTCTCAATGTTCATTACAGTAGTTATGCACCTGAGACAAGGGTAGATATTTCCCTCATTCATTTACCAGACCTAGTTAAGGTCGTTTTTTCCAGATATAGCATTATACTAGTGATCTAGCAGTACTCAGTACTATTTAGTATTTATTCCTGAATTACCGTGTAAATACGATGGAAATAGTTTGAATCGACAGAAATAACAAAATTAATCACTTAATTTTAATTAACGAGTGAATATATTAAAAATATATTTTTGGTAGAAAATTTGGTGAAGCTCAGGCATGCCTTTAGATTTTCGCTATGAGCTTGAAAGCTCAGAGCAAAATTTCAATGTAAAACTATTGTTCAATGGCCGTAGTTATAGTTGTTTTACCCTAAGGTGTTGCATACGCTTATTTCAATAATTCATTCAATTCTGTCGGCGATGACATCTATTTTCTATTTTTACGTTTAGCCCTGTTCACTACGTGCCATGAACATGCCCATCAAATCAACCCATGACCTTCGATTATCAGTTTATCAAACTCCCATCGATCCATTCTTATATTTTCTCCGCCTTTCACGGCCGCTTATGTAAATCTGCCGTTGACGTGAATATATTGAACATTAAATCAATGTAATATATAATTTCCCATTTTCATATTCTTCACATTTTTTTTCATTTTTTTTTTTCATCAATAATTCAATGGATTATTGATATTCCAACAACATAAAAAAATCGTTGTATAATCCGTGAATTACTGAACAAATAAAAAATCGAGTCATCAGTTTAAAAAAATTATAATTAAATATCAGTCTGCCTCGGGTAGAGCCTCATCGCGTATTCTTCTGGAGTGATTATTAATGGAAAATTATCCTCTCAAGTGAAAAAAATCAATTTAACAATTTTCTGCTGACAGGTCTCGGTAGAACAGGTGTTCTCACCGCGTGCTATCTTATCTATAGTCTACGGGTTCGTGCTAGCGATGTCATTCGATTTGTTCGCATAAAACGTCCCGGTGCTATTCAAACACGTGGACAAATTAAATGTATCCAGGACTTCGAGCACTTTATTCTTCCACAAATGATTGTGTATCCTGGGCGGATTGGTAGCCTAGGTGGTAGACTGAATAGTTTGCAGACTTACTTGAAGAAACAGGCTAATGCCCTGCATGGATACGAGCAACGCACATTCAAACACATACCCAAAATAGTCTTCGTCATTTGCGAGAGGATTCTACAACTTTGTGATTGTCAGGAGGACAATTCACCAGCGGAAATTGAATTCAGAATTGCTGAGACACCTTTTACCAATAAATTCATATCGAATGCTTTGGAGAGCCTGCAGGGGAGGGAGAATGATATAAGACATTCGTTATCATGGGCTGAATGCCTTTCTGAAGCTTCATTTTACTCCAGTGGGTACCTAACAATTGATTATAAAAAATACCTTCTCTGCAGGAATCAAAATTTCTTCGCAATAAATTGATGCATTTATGTGCAGTTTTATTTTCTCATTATTGATTATTATTATTAATTATTTATTAACTTTCCGAATGAATCTATCTCCAGGCACTTCGAAGATTGCGGATGACAGTTTGTCCTCTCGTGATACTGTTGAGGACATTAAAAGGCTTGATGATGTTTTCTGCCCATCGCCGGACTCACCCTCATGTTCACCAAGTTATCCAAGTAAGATTATCTGCTCAACGAGAATTGATATTGATGGACGACCTCGCGATATATGCAATTGATAATTCAATAATTTGTAGTACTTGATGATAATTACGTGGATGAGGTACTTGGGGATGGTATTCGAGGACAAGAACTCTGCGAGAACGACTGCTACAAGGAAATTCAATCACAGATGGACTTAAAATTTGCCGCGGAGAAAGAAAAATTCGATTATATCGATATTGAGGAGGTGATAGCCGCAATTATCTGTGATCATAATGAATTGGTCGATCAGAAAAAAAAATTTATTCACAAATATAAAGTGAGTATTATAAACGAAATAATTGTTTTATTTAATTGGAGATGAATTGTCGAATTTTGACAGGTGGATTTGAACAACAGAACTTCCACATGGCAGCATCTAGAATTAGAAACTGATCTCGAAGTTCTCACTGGACTTTTATTCGAATGGTTGGAGACCCTGAAGAGGCCTGTCTTAGATGTCGACAGTTTAAGTCAAATTGTAATACGTGGTTCAAGGCCGAAGCAGTGCCTTCAGAAGTTGGAGCCGTGGAATCGATATATGCTGGAGTATCTTTTACGTTTTGTATCACGGTTGAGACCCATGACGATGGACACGCAGAGGCTGATTGTAAGGAGAATCCTCGCCTCAATCACTCAGCAGAGAGTGCGAATCAAACAGTTGTTGATGCCTGCAGGTAATTAATTTTCTGACTCAACTTTGTAATGCGCAATTATTCCCTCAATTTCATTTCAAATTCTCAAACGATGGATCGAAACAAATATTTCTTTAAATATCTAATTAAATTATTTAACGCTGCTTACTTATGATAATAATAAAGTTGAGGAATTGAAATTTCTCAGGGAAAAACTTCCAGATATTGCGAGGAGGAACTGCTGGAAAACTCATGGATTTTTCGATGGCATTTTTGAATTTAATAGAAGAGATTAATACTCAGGAGTATAGTCATAGATCCTGGTCGATTTCTTCCAGGTGGTCAATCGCTAGTAGCCGACTCCAAAATATTAAAGACGAAAATATTAACTCCCCGAATAAATGTGAATAATTAATTATTCGGTATTGCATATTATTTTTAAAAATAAATTTCGAAATAAAAAGTATTTTAAACTATTTCGCCGATACGTGCATTCATCGAATGTTTCTTCTCCAACTAACGACAACCAGTAATTAATTCCAAAAACCAACGAAATTCCAAGAAGAAGTGAATAAACTCTCAATTGCAGGTACAGAATATTCCAGAAGAATTTTTCCTTCCGCGAAAATAATCAAAAGCGACTTTTGACATTCTTGTTGCATTATAAAAGTTGACAAATTTATTTGACACTTGCTGTCACCTGGCGAACTCATTACCTAGCTGGCTATTATCCTGGGGATTACCCCGCACCCCGCCCTGCGGTCACGCGTTGCCACTTCAGGGTATTCCAGGTATTTTGCCCCCTAATAAATCCAAGGT